CTTCGTCAGGACGCAAAATGTCCGTAACGCGCTTCGAAAGGGGTCGGGCTGCAAGTAGGTTCCGGAAGAAAGCTGGAAGGACGAAAACTGAGCCATTTCAGCTTCTCTGGTGTTTCGAGGCACGCTTCACCTCCACAAACGGGGATGAGCGAAATTGAGAGAAGAAGAAAAGAGCTCCCCTTACCCATCTGTTTCTTTTTCTTCCGGAGGCGGACGAGGCACGGCGAGGTATGCGCCGCACACATTTTGCGTACGGCGATGCACTCTTTGCGGAGCCTGCAGTAGAGCGTTGCGAAATCTCAAACGTATACGATGTGTGAGCGCATTGGTGTAAACAGTTTTCCGCGATGTCCGTCGCTTGCTGGAGCTGCAGCACGTGACGTTGTCTACGTTATGGTTCGACGCAGTGCAAGCTGGGTTCGCTCGTCAACAGCAGCAAAATCGGGTGCTATGGCGGGTTTCGAGTAGAGAGCAGAACGATGCGAGGACGGCGAAGTGGTGTCGATACTAGAGTGCTTTGACAGTGGCGGTGAGTACGCAAATACCATGTCATCGTTGTCGGCACGCAGCTTCAACCTTTCTGGGCCACGTGAGTTGATTGTTGCATACGGTAACTTGACGAGACTATCAAAATGGCTAATAGAGGTCTCGCAGACGGCAAGGTATTTCCCCACACATACCGTATTACTGTCACTCCTAAAACGCTGATTGACGAACTTCCACTTTTGTTATATGTCTTTTCTTATTCTTTATTCTGTGAATTTTATATCAGGCGAAGCGCGGCAAGTGATATACTTGTGTTCGTAGCCCCGCCGCGGTGGTCTAGTGGCTAAGGTACTAGGCTGCTGACTTGCAGGTCGCGGGTTTGATTCCCGGCTGCGGTGGCTGCATTTCCGATGGAGGTGGAAATGTTGTAGGCCCGTGTGCTCAAATTTGGGTGCACGTTAAAGAACCCCAGGTGGTCGAAATTTCCGGAGCCCTCCACTACGGCGTCTCTCATAATTATATGGTGGTTTTGGGACGTTAAACCCCACAAATCAATCAATTAATACTTGTGTTCGTAGCACCTGCCTCCACTCATTCTCTGCCCACGCTCAGCGATATTAGAAGTTGGATCGCGCTCAGTTATCTCGCTCGGTTGGCGTGTCATCTACGGGAAAGATGAAGACAGCAAGTTGTGGCGGGCAGAGAACGGAAGCCGCAGTAAGCCAAGCCAGACAAGTCAACCATGCATTCTTCGAAGATGGCTTAATCGGGCAGCGCAAATTTTGCGCGGCTCAGTGGTGTGCTGACCCGGGGATTTTTAGTTCCGCGAAGGTTCTTCAGCGATTCCTAAAGGCAAAGAGTAAGCACAGGAATTCGGACCCATTATTTGAGCAGGTATTTATTTGCATGAGTACACATGATTAAACCCAGTTCTCTGCAAGCCTGACTGGACAGACAGAAGTGCCGTGTCGCTTGACTAATTGGTGAAGACAGCAGCTAAGCTCATGTCAGAAAATGCATTCATTAAAATGCCTAAATTATAGTTAGCTCGGCTACATAACTATAGTTTCTTTTACTTTCGACGTGTAGTTCAAATGACGTTAAGTAACTATAGGTTGCTTCCTGCTAATGTAATTCTTGTAGCAGTAGTTTGAAAATTCGAGTTCTTACTTGTAATAGTGTCACTCAAGTACAGGCGATAAACTAAAATGCCTTCAAAATATTATTGCAGGAGAACGTCGTGGAGCCAACGTTTTGACAAGTCAACTTTTGTTCGTCGAAGGCAACACTGTTGCCCTGACGAAGACTAGTCATCTTGCCGAAACACTGTTTACAGCGATGTCCCTTCTCGAAAAACTTCTGATCGCTACAAGCCTTTCCGTGTCTCTGACCGTCAGCCTGATTTGGTACTCAAGTTCTGTAAGAAAACTATGCCCGTCATCATGACAAACGCGATTGAGTCAAATATGACTGTGTCCTACTCGCGATTGTTGATAATTTTTGCGTTGCTTCGGATATTCTGGGTCCGAAGTTTGGTCATTATGTCCCTATGTGAGTTGTAAGTTAAAGCTGCATTTATAGATTGGCACTTTCACACTACGTGTATGTCTGTTTATTTGTACCAAACGTGCAATAAGAAGTTTAATTTATTTGTGGCGATTGTGTTTCGTCTTGCTGAGCGATCAGCCGGCTTAACTTTCGCCTCTTCAGAAAACACGAACAAAATCAAAATTAAAAAAAACAAACAAAATTTTACGAATGGCCGCATCGTCCGAGTGGCCAGTAGACCTGAAAGAAGGCACGAGCGCATTCCTATGGCATGCGAAAAGGGAAAGGGAGGTATCCGCGGCAACCCTCCTGCTCTCAAGTTTTCGTCCTTTCTCTCGATTTCTGATCATCCCCAGTGAGGTCATCAAATACAATTTGTGTTTCTGATTTGTTTCCAGTAGGATGCCCGACAACCAACAGTGATAAAATCGACGTTGCCGCTGCCGAGAGCGAATGCATAGTTGATGGGGAGTTTCCACTCCCCTGGTTTACCGCACCGAAACCACCATGTGATTATGAGAGACGCCGTAGTGGGAGGCTCCAGAAATTTACACCACCTGAGCTTCTTTAACGTGCATCCAAATCTGAGCACACGGGCCTACAGCATTTTCGCCTCCATCGAAAATGGAGGCGGGATTTGATCCCGTGACCTGCGGGTCAGCATTCAAGTACCAGCGGCGAGGCTTTGCTAAGACGTCAGCGCAGGCGTGAAATCTTCGGTCCATTGCTCCGTGCGCGACAAACATACGGCAAAAATTTGGTGCAGCTCTTAAGCTCCGAGTTCGCGGGATCGAATCCCTGCTGCGAGCGGCTGCATTTTGAGCACCGAGTCCCAAGCGGATTCAAGGGCGTGGGTGCTCGGACTCATCAGTCATTGAATTAGTGAGGGAATATGAACCGGAGCCATCTAGAAGGTTATGGAGACAAGGCAATGGCGTGGTTTGCAAGAAGAATAAAGATTGCCGGTCTTGTACGTAGTCTAGAATAGAAATATACATTCCACTTTTTTACACCTAATTACGAACTTTCATGGCGGTGGTATCCACTTTACATCAGCTGCGGCATTGAATAGCGACGCCCGATGCCAATAGGGAAATGCCCTTACGTAAGAGAACCTTTTTTTTTTTATGGGCGAGTCCAGCAAACGTAATACTGCGAACGGAGCAGGCACAGCCTGTTTGAATGAATGCAGGGCTATCACACATTCTGGCACGAAGTGGTTGTAGACATACGCAAAAGTAGCGTTTGTAGAAGAAAGAATGCTCACCGTTGCGGAACTCGACTGAACAAAGCTTCAGTGTAAAAGACACCACGCAAAGCCATTCTGGCCGACGTCTTCGGGCAGTTTACGAACAGTGCTTTCTAAATGGACAGAAGCCTTAATCTTTATTAAATATGGTATGCGCACGCTTGGTTCGCAAGTTCTCTGACGAACATTTTTGCGATTTTGTAACCTCGACCACACGCTGGGTAGGCTGGACAGCTTGCGCAGTGATAAGCAGCCAATATGCGGTTATCTACGCTGTTTGGAACTTTCTCTCCCTGCCCACGGCAAGTTATCTTTTCGCACACTTTGCTTTCTTCCCATTTACTTTACAATTAGTTTTAATAACAACCCCTATACTTTACGTGGCATGATTGTCTCCTAGATCTCATTAATACTGTGTAATAAAGAAAAACCAGCACTTACATGAGTTACGTTCACTGGTACGTACGCCGCTTCTATGTTATTCCATGCCCCACTAGGCACTCCCACAGACAAAAATACAATGATCCATTCTGCTTTTTTTTTTGCGTAATACGTACTTATTAGTTTATCTTTCTTATTCATACCATGACACAAGTTCGGGCCTTATGGTTATACGCAGAAAATGTCAAAGCTCCTCACAGTTGAACTATCTTGAACGTCTATCCTGCACCAATATCGCACAAAGGACCTTTGCAGGGCCTGCATCCTGAAATACAAATCGCGTAAAGATAGCCAATAAATCATTTTGGCAATGCGGACGGAAATACCACTCCATCGTGGCCGGCACGTTATTTCATTTTTTAAATTTCTGGGCGGGTGAGTTGCTCATTGCGCATACTGAAACGTAATGCGGTGATTGATTAAGTATACAGTCCGAATCACAGTTGTCCAGAGTGAGCAGCTGGCAGCTTCAGCCACCGTTCTTTATAGGTCCTTTTGTTTCGGCTCAAGCATGAACAGAATCTTGCAGCTAACGCAGCTAAGGACGGCTCCAGTGTCCACAGCCACACGCTTTACACCGTTTTAGACAAGTGTGAATTATTCAAAGTTCCAAGCACGTCACTGCGGTATTTATGAACTTACTGCAATGTAAACTGGTCCCACTGAAGTACTCGAACACCTAGTTGCAATTACTTGGTAAACTTTTCTAAAGATCATACAGAAGAGCACTCCGTGAACTTGCTGTCGCTAGTCTCCTCAGTCATGTTACTAAAATGCCATGTGGTCGCTTAGTAAAAGTGAGCGCAAGATTTGTAAGGCTGTGCTCATTTTGCGATGAAGACACATTCGCAAAACTCCTGGAGCACGAAAGCCTATGTATAACACATCGCGTAAGCATCAGCAGGAGACGATCAGCTACAGATATCCTCAAGCACGAGGCATATCACCCTTACAAGCCGCGGCTGCTGGGGGCAGACCAATCGCCTTTGCAGTGCAGCGCTTCTCGGCGCCGTGAACCTTGACCGCGAATAAGGGCGCGCGCTCTTGAAGATGAGAAAACTAGTGCAGTCTACTGACTATTCAATGCAAACTGCAATTTTTTTATTATTACGCCAAGTCTATCAGCATCAAACAGCGTTGCCGCTGGAGATCGGCAAGTAAAGACCGTGGTCATATTAGAGCAAGTCAACGAGATCAGTAAACACAAGGAATCATCAGTTCAGCGACTGCCGAGATCGAGAGAGTTAATAACTTCGAGATAAGAAATACATACAGTGTCATAACAATGATACAGCAGTTTATTTCAAACAGTGGCAGCTTGCAAATACATCAGCGCAGATGACGATGAGCAATGATGGGAAAATATTTACAGGACGCTCGGATGGATTTGTTTGCTTAAATGGAGCAATGAGCAGTCACTTTGTGCTTCGAGTTTAAGGGCGAAAAAAAAAAACTGATAGAATTTCAAATGGACAGAAAAACGTAGATTTTGTACCGCCCTCGAGGGCAAAGTAAATGACATTTGAAACCAGCATATGAGCACGCAGCTTCTTCCGCGAGACGAAGCTGGCTATGCCGGTTTCGTAGTGGAACATCTAAGGTGTATGGGGCAACGTCTCAAGCTATACATGAGTAGTTTGGCCTCGTCACAAGATTGAGCAGCATCTCTTTGAAAGAAACGATGTTAATAAAAAAAAACTACGGTATGGTCACAAGATCAGAGATACGTGGGAGGCCGGACGATTTTTGTCTTCACAAGAGAAATACGGGAGGGCACTCCGACCGAATCAGCTGGCCGCGTAGACTGCCACAGAACAGGGAAACATAAATACGAGGGAACGGCAGACACAGCGACCTGAAGTAACGTGAGATGCCGACTGCCCCGACAGTGACATGCTTGTGAGGGACACCGTTGGATCACTACGTGAAACAAACGAAAAGAAAAAAAAAACAGCAAACGATCAGTCCTGACTGGAATGCCGAGACTTGCCGGGAACGCCGAGAAGCACTTGAGGCATCACTGGAAGTCACCGACGTACGTCTTTGCCGCTAGACGGGCTATCTAGCGACTAGTGGATGAGGGCGTCCTGAAGGCACGTCGCTTGCTGACTAGGCTTATTCCGAGGCGGCGCCGAGTCGAAATAACGTACAGTCTTTGTGACAGCTCTGCGTCGCTTCGTTGTCCTGGGTTTGACGATGATGTGCCCGCCAGACGTTAAGATGTGACCGGCGTTGTCATGGACCCGCCCCGGTGCGGTACAAGCCCGTGGTTCGACATGGAACGCACGATCAGTCCTAGCTTTGCTTGCGTTCCGTCGGTGCCCGTTGTGACGGCTGTCTTGACGTGACCGTTTCGCTGCTGCACGTTGCGCGCCGTCTGAGAAGCCTTGTAAGCTTTGGCGTAGAAGTTACGGAACATATAGAAAAGCAGAACGGCCTCACCCATGAGTATGTACGCAAAGTAGGGAGGGAAGCCACAGTCGTAGAAAACGGGAATGGCAGCGTGCACGAAGCCGATGACGAACTGAACCATCTGGAACTGGGTGAGGTAACGCTTCCACCACAGGTACTTGCGCACCTCGGGTCCCATGGCAGCCAAGGCAGTAGTAGGTGTACATCACAATGTGCACGAAGCAGTTGATGAATGGGAAGAAGGCGTTCTGGCCCCCAGCTCCGTAGTTGACGCCCATCCACACGGTCCACGCGACAGTCGAGTGGTGCACGACGTGCAGTAGAGAAATGTGCGAAAACTTCTTGGTGAGCACGAAGAAGACGGTGTCCAGGAACTCGACCATCTTAAGCAGCAGGTACCACCAGCCCAGAGTCGTGACGGCCATAGAATCCGGATCACGTCCGTAACTGACAGGTTGGCAGAGCCAGTTGTAGGGTCCCAGGTACGTGTAGGAGCCGCCCACAACAAAGAAGAGAGTGCTAAGCACCACCATGATGAGGTTGTAGGCGATCAGGACACCCTTGATCTGGAACGGCTCGCGGCCTTTCATCCAGCTTGGTCCCCACACCTTGACGAAGTAGATGTACCCGGCGATGATGGTCAGCATGGTCATTGGGCTGCCCATCAGTGGCCAGCTCTTAACCCGGCTGTCGGTGGCTTCCACCACGTACTGGTAGTACATGCCGACAGCCTTGTCCCACAAAAATGCCATCGCTGCAACGCCACGCGACAAAGCTGTCCGCGAAGACTGGAGAGCAGGAGACTGCGCCGGAGGAAGATGCGGCTCGAGGATGGAGGACGACACGCACTCGTTCAGATGTAGCCGTGCACAACTGGCCGACAACGGCGGCGGCGTTATGGAACGACTACTCCGTCTCTCAGTGGAAGCTGGTGCGTCTATGCTGCTCTCTCAGCTGTCGCGGGTCCGGTTTATACGCGGCCGCCGGCCCCACGTGACCACCTGCGTAAAAAGAGAGGGAAAAAGATCAGCCACCGCCTCGCACACCCCCTTCGGCGGCTTGCGCTCTCTCACACTCCTCTGCTGATGACGTCATGGCCGTCGGTACATTCACGCGGGTCGGGCGACCGCCCGGTAGATACCGCCTCAAGGTAAGCCAAGGCTCCAGCGTGCTACCAGGCTCGTAAGTCCGGGCCTGGCATGTCCCCGAGGTTTGTCGTCCTCGTCTCTGTTTCCGCACCTTCTTTTCTTCCTCTAAGTGTGTAATGTTCTTTCGTTTTTTTTTTTTCTTTCCCACGCTCTTCTCTCTCTCTCCTCTCTCTCTCTATGTGTGTGTGTGCGGCCCTCGTTGTTCTCATCATTTCTTAATAGGCCTTAGAGTGCAGAGAGAGTGAGAGAGAGAGCTTGCTGGGAAGCACGCACGCATTGACCCTTGCTCTGCTCATTGCGTCGCAACGCCGATGTCGTCACAAGAAGGGGTAACCCTTTGTTTTAGGTTGTTTTACGTAAGTTTCCCACATTTGTGTGCAAGAAGGGAGGCCTCGCGGTTATTGCGTCAATCGTTTGATTGGGAAGGTTTTTATAGAGGTTTTTGCTTGTTTTCTTGAAGCTAGATTGCAGACTTGTGCGACAAGAATCTATTTGCGAACGCCAGCGATACGTTCGGTTCACACTAGATGGAGGTGGCTATCTTTGCCCGTCAGATCGACATGAGAGAACAAAGGCTGAATCGAGCACTGCGGACGTAGAGGTTCACTTATTGGTGACATTGTTGGCGACGTCCGATTAAGAATGGCTACCGGCTTTGCATACTAACGTCGCGAAGTGGCCTAGAGCATTCCAGCGATGCATGCCATCAAATAAAAATCACTGATCGATTCATTGATATGTGGGGTTTAACTTACCAAAATTATTATATGATTATGAGAGACGCCACGTCGAACGGTCGCCTGAAATACGCTTCATGTGGCTGCAAATTGCCGTGCCACCAACGAAAAAAAGAAGCACTGCACCCGGATTTTAAAAATTACCCACCGTCACACGGTGTGTTTGATTAAATGAATTGCGGCACGATGATTTCACTTCCTTGTCAATTCATGCGTTCTGTGGATGGGTATGTCTTCTGTCGAAACGAATTTTATAACTTATTCGTAATAACGAACAGTTTCACCATTGGCATGAGTGCACGTGTTCGCAATTAGTGAAGTTGAGTGAAGGGAACGAATTGATAGAAACGAATTAACGTCCCAAAATCACCATATGATTATGAAATACGCCATAGTGGAGGGCTCCGGCAATTTCGACCACCCGGGGTTCTTTAACGTGCTCCCAAATCTGAGCACACGGGCCTAGAGCATTTTCGCCTTCATCGAAAATGCAGCCACCACAGCCCACCAAATAAACATGTAGCTTTCGTCTGTCGAGATGTGCCCGCGAAATGTGCAGGTTTTGGGCTTTCATTCACTCTTCATATCTTGAACATTTGGATCACTGCGGCAGCTAGTACGCAAAACGACGCGTTAATATTGACAGCTTACCGTAATCTTGGCGCTGCCACTTGCTTTTGCTATAAAACCAGTGCTGAAATGCGTGTTTGTTTCTCGTTTTCTTTTTTTTTTCCTCGAGCAAGAACCGCTGAGTTTTTCACGTGTGGGCGCCTTCGTTACGAGTACGATGTCGTGGGTTCGGCTGCCGGTCAGCCGCGGTAGTCGCATTTTTTTTTTTCTGAAGTGACGGGACACGAGACAAGAAGCTTCGATGTGCCACCACGTTGCGACCAATAGCACGTGTACCCTGCAAACATTGAGCGTGAAATGTCGGCACGCGCGAATATTGCTCATACGCCGGCGCACCATGTGCTCTGCTTCTTGAAGCGCGACCTCGTCATTGTGGACGCTGCCGCTGCCAACACTTACGTATAGTGTGACGTGACTGCGGTTAATACACCTACCACACGCAGATTGCTTGAGGGCGACAGCGACGGATACGGAAGAGCGCGGCAGCAGCAGTTTATGAAGCCTTCCGAACAGTGCGTGCGTGGTCTGTGCAAGTTGTTTTCTGTTGAATTAGCTGTTTCTTGCTTGCCTTCCCCCCCCCCTTCACCCGACGCCCCACCATGGTGGTCAAGTTGCTAAGGTACTCGGCTGCTGACCCGCAGGTCGCGGGATCAAGTCTCAGCTGCCGCAGCTGCATTTTCGATTGAGGCGAAAATGCTGTAGGCCCGTGTGCTCAGATTTGGGTGCACGTTAAAAAACCCCAGGCGGTCGGAATTTCCGAGGCCCTTCACTACGGCGTCTCCTATAATCATATGGTGGTTTTGGGACATTAAACCCCACACATCAATCATATGCCCTTCACCCAACTGCACTGAATGTAAACACGTGCGCTCGTGCCAATTATGAAACTGTTCGTTATTACGATTATGTTACGAAATCCGTTTCGGCAGAAGACATACCCATACACCGAACGCATGAACTGACACGCATGTGAAGTCATCGTGCCGCGATTCACTTAATCAAACATATGGCGGTCACGGTGTGACGGTGGTCAATTTTCAAAGCGCGGGTGCTGTGCTTGTCCTTTTTCATTGGTGGCACCGCAATTTGCAGCCACATGAAGCGTATTTCAGGCGTCCTTTTCGACTCGTCGTGCGCACGCATTGGCCTCACAGCACCGAAATTAGGGAGTTTTCGAATAACGTACGCAAACTATACCCACTTGCTATCGCTGCTGCTGCGCAATGCGTCATAACGCTAATCGCGTTCGCGGTCCGCGTGCGCCGTAAAATCCGAAATAGTGTGTGGCCCGAAGAGCTCCTTTGCGGTGACTCAAGCGTGCGTTTGCGAGGGACAAACGCTATTCGAAAATTCATATTGCGCCCACACGCAAACGCTACGGCCACAGCGCCCGCTAACTTAGCCTACGTACGCTATTCGGAAACTCCCTGTTAGTGCTGAGAGATTACCGTGCTCTAATGCGGAGAGAATAGGGATTGTATAACGCTGTGGCTGTAGTTAAATTAGATGCGTTGCAATCCGAATGGTAATCTTTGTCATCTCTTTGGGTTAAAGGCGATAGTATTAATTTTTAGGCCTTAACATTCCAAGACCACGATGTTGTTATGATGAACGCCGTAGTAGATGTCTGTGGACATTTCTACCATCTGAGGTTCTTTAACATGGACCTAAACCTAAGTGCATGGGCCTCGCATTACATCTCCATATAAATGCGGCCGCCGGTATTTGATACCACGACCTTCTGATCAGCACTCGAGCATCATGTAGCCACTAAACCATCGTGGAGGGTTGGGGCTATAGAGGTAATCGATTGCGGAAATCGTGCCGGGAGAAAACGGTAATTATGCGCGCGACTCTATATCACGCCTCCGCTACAATGCACACTTGCTAGTTTGTAAATATTTCCGTAGAAGAAAAAACTGCTGCCACCCAGATAATGCCAGAGAGCCTCGATTATTATGCGAGATCAGCCCGATCTTGGTGTGCGCGATGTCTAACACCTGTTTGACGCGTTTCAAACTTTTCCACATTTCCGTGCGCTTCAGCTTTGCCTAATACGGCTATATAGACAAGGGCGATCTTCTTTCCGGACTGCTATTAAAGCAATACCACGTTCGGTTTCATTCAGACATGAAGGCTTTCTGGTATATAACCTGATTTACGACGTAGATCTACTGCGGCGATTGCCGCGCGATTTCAGCGGCGCAGGATACGGGTGACGTAGGAGAATACAAGTAAGGAATTTTCGGCATTTCACAACAACACATCGAACAAGACATACGCCCAACGTTTTTTTTATATATATAAAGTAGTGTTGCGACTGCAAAAGGGAAAATAGACTGAGGAACGGGGTGGATGCCTACGGTAGCCGCACTTTACAGTCGTTCACAAACTTCGTTTTGACGCGACACAGTTTAACTAAGAATTAAATTCTTACCTCCGTTGATGGTTGACATTTTTCAGCTCCGTGGCTGGAGTTGCCCTTGGGCAACTCCAGCCGTTGTTGTTGTTAGCCTATATTCCCTGTGGCTCAAACCCACTACGGGAGATTGTCCAAGAATTGGCTATGTAAAACTTAAGGGTAGGTTAATCTGTATAACAGGTAGTTACGCATTAAGAAAGAAATGTAGGTGGATCATAAAATATAGAAAAACAACAGCAACGCTTTTATTAGAAATGATAATGAAAAACCATGCCAAGCACTCTGTACAGATCAATACCCTGAGAAGCTGAAACGTGCGCTCCCTGTGATTATAAGTGGGCTGATTTCCGGCGGTTAATTTGGGTATTTCTCAATTATTAGTCATGTCTGCAAACAATCCTAATTGGTGCTTTCGGTTGCGTGTTCTCTTTACTTTAGGTGTGCCCGAGATGAGTAGTAGGGCTTGTCCCAGCTTCAGTGGCACATGCATGCCAGGCATTCTTGCACGCATAAGACGGACTAAATTTATGTCCGCTTTTTCTCGCCCCCCCCCTCCTCCTCTCTCCAAACGCACACATACTGTTAACTCCCACATGATGTAGGTACTACCGCGTGAATTGGCACGTGTGGCGTTTACAAGCTGTGGGTGGCAAAATGCAAGAGATACAAGTATGCATCGCTAAAATCGTGCTGATTCAAAGGAGCTGGCTACGCGACAGGAAAAACTGTGTCATCGTGTGGCTTGAGAGCGTCGATTGTCGACAGCGTGTTCCATTTTTTTTGCTTGCACTGTTAGCTCCAGAGTGTGACGTTAATTGTAAAGCTCATAGTCGAAGTACAGCACGAATGACCATGCGCTTTTGGTGTGATGTACTTCAAAAGTTCATGCCATCGATGCGTTCCATGACTGAGCTGAGATGTGCACTGAGGTATAGATAGCCGCTGTTAATTTTTTACCACGACCACCTGCCTGCTGCTGTAAATAAAGGGCACGAACGCCAGGAACATATTCCAACCACCGAG